TTGGACATGCTCATCATTTACCTTGTACTGAATTCCCGTATTCAAGTGTTGTTGGAAAGAACATTATGAGCACAAAATTATGTCCTCATAATTTTGACATTTGTATGCCCTAATGGAATGGTGAGATGAACACATGCAAGAAGAAAAAACCTTTTTTAAAACCAGAGATAGCTCGTTAAAAAAGAAAAAGAAAAATTAGAAGTGATTTTACTTCAGAAGAAATAACTTTAAAAAATGAAAATTCAAGAGCAAGAGCATGAGGTAGAATCCTGTTAACCACCACCAGAAGTGGGATTACTAGCTAGGTAAGGTGACACGTGCCTGTAATCCCAGCAGTTTGGGAGGCTGATGCAGGAGGATTCCAAGTTCAAAGGCAGCCTTAGCAACTGGGTGAGGCCCTGAGCAACTTAGCAAGACCCTGTCTCAAAATAAAATATAAAAAGGGATGGGGATGTGGCTCAGTGTTTGAGTGCCCCTGGGGTTCAATCCTTGGCACCTTCCCCCCAAAATGAGATACTTTCCTAACTGTGAAACAACTTAGAGTCAGTGAGAGATATCCTGACAGTAGAGGAACCACATGGACAAGGAGTTTAATTCACAGGTTATTAAAGTTAAAATGCAGCATATACAAAAACACACAAAAGACCAGTCATTGGTAATCAAAGACTCAAACACAAAACCACAGTGTGTCACCTTAAATTTACAGAACTTCAAAAAGAAAGGCCCAACCTGTCTCATGGGGAAGCAGCATGACAAACTGTGATATCCAAGTGCCAGCGAACTGACAGGAGGGTGCTAAGGACAGGGGCAGAGAGAGCCCTTCACATTCTCCACAATTAGAACCTCCAGGTCTCCTGGACAACACTGTGAGGAACAGAATTTACCTGTATGGCGGAGCCATCCCTCAGGGCAACAATTCTACCTCTCTGATATCTTTCAATCCCATCAGCATCCTGCTGAAGAAAAACGATGTTCAATGTTCAATTTGTACAGTCATCAAAATCATCTGTGGGGTTTCTTTCTGCCTCTGTATTATTTCTGTTATATAAATTAGCTTTTTCTCTTTGTTAGATTAAAGGATGTACTTCTTACTGAATGTCCCTCATACAAGAAACTAATGTCCTGAACTGTGACGTCCTTGTGGTCAGGGACTGGGTCTAGTATTTGATGACAGCTTTTGTACATCTGTATCTGCCATAGATGTGGAGATGCAGCATTTGGAGTTTCATTCAAGAACTTGCCATTTGCCAGGCATGTTGGTGCTCACCTGTGATCCCAGCGACTCCAGAGTCTGAGGTAGGAATATCACAAGTTTGAGGAAAAGTCTTAGCAACTTAGCGAAGCCCTAAGCATGGCTCAAAATAAAAAAATTAAAAGGTCTGGGGAGTCTGGGGGAGTTTCTCAGTAGTAGAACACTTGTCTAGCACGTACAGGGCCGCTGAGTTCATCTCCCGCACCACAAAAGATAAAAAATATTTCAATGAAAGAATATTTTTAAATGAGAGGGACTTGGAATATAGCTCAGTGGTAGAGTACCCTTGGGTTCAATCCTCAGCACCAAAAAAAAAAAAAAAAAAAGGAGGAGGAGGAGGAGAAGAAACAGCAGCAGCGACGCAGGAAGAACTTGCCATTCAGCAGCAAGGAGCATGTGAGCCCCAGGCTGCAGCATCTTCAGGACCCACTGAGCTTGGAGCAGGTCCAGATTCTTCTAAGACAGCTTGGACAGAACTGAGCATAAGCCAAGGTGTCAGTCACAGCCTGTTCTGCCCAATCCTAGACACTCCTAACAGCAGTCTTCACTTGAGAGTTACTTCTAAGATGACTGGGGAATCTGTTGCCTCAGCATGGTGGTCTGGGTCCCTCCCTGCCCAGCTCTGCCTTCTCTTCATACTGTCCACAGTTGTCACAACT